GTTCGATCCGGATCTAATGTGCGTGGGCCTTCAATGACCATCCCACCGACCTCGACTGGGATTGAACCTGGACGCATTGGGGTGAGAAAACAGTCACGCTTACCACTACACCATCGGCGCCGGCAAAACCTTGACTGCCACTCGGCTCCATTTTCGGAAGACCGATCGACTGGAACGTGTTCAATGCTGAAAGGACGTGCTGTCAAATCAGTCTACTGATCATTCTTGTATGAAATTGATTCCAAACGTAAACAAACCCTGTAGGTTTCTTATGACTTGTTTACGTTTGGAACCAGTTATGCGAGGTAGGCGATGATTGTTCGTATTTGACCAGGCTTGATGAAGCCTCACTCGCGAGTTTAAAATGAGCCGAGCGTAGCATTTTTCTGAGGAGTAGAATGCCTACTGCCAAATCATTCCACTGAGCTTCAGAGCTTGTGAGCGATGGGGGATAAAATGAGAGTGAAGTTTGCTGCCATTCATGTTCATGCTTTCAATCACACGCTCGTACCAACCGGTGGCAACTAACGATCTTAAATTGGCTCACTACTTGACTAGTCTATTGGTCCCAAGCAAATCGATTAACATACCCCATTCTAGTCAAAATTCTAGTACTACTCTATGTTTGTTTTGATTCGCTATGAAAGTTTGACAGATATAAGGGGTGCATCGATTAGCTTGGGACCGAATAGAGTATCAAAAAAAATCAATACGAAACTATCGATTTGAAATTGGCTCACTACTTGACTAGCCTTATGGTCCCAAGCAAACGATTAACGTATCACCAACAATCAATATGAAACTAACGATCTTAAATTGGCTCACTACTTGACTAGTCTATTGGTCCCAAGCAAATCGATTAACATACCCCATTCTAGTCAAAATTCTAGTACTACACTATGTTTGTTTTGATTCGCTATTAAAGTTTGACAGATATAATGAGGGGTTCGTGGATTTTCCTATGTTTCGAGGGGTGCATCGATTAGCTTGGGACCGAAGAGAGTATCAGAGCTGAGCCAAAAAGTTGAGCACGTTTCTTCGGGACCTTCTAGTCTTAGAGTTACCTCTATGATCGTATCATAGAGGTAACTCTAAGACCAGAAGGTTCCGAAGAAACGTGCTCAACTTTTTGACTCAGCTCTGATACTCTCTTCGGTCCCTAGCTAATCGATACACCCCTCGAAACATAGGAAAATCCACGAACCCCTCATTATATCTGTCAAACTTTCATAGATAATCAAAACAAATATAGTGTAGTACTCGAATTCCGACTAGAATGGGATACGTTAACCATTTGCTTGGAACCAATAGGCTAGTCAAGTAGTGAGCCAATTTCAAATCGATAGTTTCGTATTGATTGTTGATCGTACTCTCACTCTGGGTGAACTCTGAGCTTCTTGCGTCGAACAAAAAAGTCATCCGGAGTCTCGAAAATCATCCTCTCGCTGAAGTTCACTCTCCCTCTCTCTCGAGGAGTATTTGTTTACTTCTTCTATATTCCTGCCACCACTCACTCGAGGTGATGGCTGGCTAAACTCGCAGGACAAGAGTGTTTTAAAACCTCCAGTGATTTTGTGGAGTTTCAGCAAGCCTATATTTGACAGCCACGTCCCCCTTGGTTCAATGACATCAGTCGCTCGCTATATTTGCCTTTTTCGCGACTGTGTTTGTGCTTCAGTACCGAAGTGCCTGCCTCCAAGAAAATCGCCTTGGTCTAACGCTACTCTCCGCAACCTGAAACGAGTGCGAGCTAGTGCTCTCCGCGCACGAAGAGAAAGGAAGCTGGGCTTCCGTCAAAAATGTTTCTCGGCAATGACGTAGTATTGACAACTGAGGACAAATGCAGCCTATTTGCTAGGCACTTCTTAAGCGGTTTCTCGAATGACTCCCCATCGGAAGCAGAAATTGAGCGAGCCGTCCGTGATGTGCCAACCGACGTCGTAAACATGGATGTTTTTGCCGTAGTTAAGTGAACCCTACACGATTGCTTTTATTGACAATAATCGTATTGTCAATACATTCAATATTGACGTCAATACATCGGTATTGACAATATTTCTGTATTCACATCATCAATATTAATGTCAATAATTCCCCTTCGCGTCAATATATTGATACGTGTGGGATTCGCTTTAGATGTACAAATGGTTCTCTCTGTGACGAGTAAAACCAAATCATCATTTTCACCAGTTCCAAGCGTTATTCCATTTGGTGTCCTAAAAAAAAATACTTCGATATCTTAGCTGCTCCGCTGTCCTTGCTCTTTTACCTGTCACTTCGTCAGCAGAAATTTCCCGCACTACGGAAACGCTCTACTATGTTCCCTGTTTTCAAGAAAGGAGGCAAACGCAATGTGGAAAACTACCGTGGGACTACCTCGCTCGGGGTTGAATCTAAGGTGTTTGAGTCGCTGATAAATGAGAGATTGCTTGCTTCCTACAAGCATTACATAAGTACATGTCAACATGGCTTCTTGCCTGGTCGCTCCGTGGAAACGAATCTCGTCAGCTTTACGTCGTTCTGTATGGAAAATGTATGCAAGAAACTTCAAGTGGATGCCATCTACACTGATCTTAAAGCTTTGTTCTGACAACACTGGCCGTGAATTTGGACGATGAGGTAGTAAGTTTGACAGATGAAGTGACGGATTGAAGAGAGGAGGATAGATAGATAGATAGAAGATAATCTGTCAAAGAACGGAAGGTAGAAATCACAAACAATACAGCATCGTTTAGAAAGTGCTTAAAAGTGAGTTTTTTAGTATTCTGTGCTTTGGATATTTGTAGAAAGTTTGTGGACAAATTTAGGTCAGTGGAGGTTACAAAACACGGAACGGCAAGCAGACGACTCACATATAGGTAAAACGAAAAAAAACACTGAATTTGTAATAGGCGAAAGAACATTTAAGAGCGGTCAAGGTAGAAGAAAGGTTGTTTGAAGGAGGAGGAACAACTAAAATTGTGAGTACTTTAACTAAAACCACAAACTGTAAACACGTACACTATATATTAAACGAATTCTTGCAGTTTGATCAACTTTATTTACGGTTGATTTACAAAAAAAACGGTTTTGTTTTTCTTTGATCCGAACAAGCTTCGTTTGATAGAGTTGTGCACGACGTTCTGCTAGCAAAGTTTGAAAAAATTGGATGTTCTACTTCCTTCTGCAGCTGCCTTAGATCGTACCTCGTGCAACGTGAAGTTACTGTATGCATTGGAATCTACTCATCGTACTGTAGGGTAGCACTTTGGGACCACTGCTCTTCTCTTAACTTGTGAACGATGTAACGTTCATTCTACTACGTGACTGTTTAGAACTACAAAACCTTCTTAAAATCTTTAATGATTGGTGTGAACGTAATGTTATGGTCCTGTGCGACTCAAAGTGCTTCGTAATTAGTTTCCGTCGAACAAGGACTGCCTTTTTGTTTGACTATAACGTTGCTGAGACTGCAGTTCAACGTGTCGATCACGTTAAAGACTTCGGTGTCATGTTGGATGAAAAGCTCACATACACTCGCCACTTCTCAACCACGATCGACAAAGCAAATCGACTGTTCAAGATCTCAAGGAATTCCGTGAACCTCTGTGTTTTAAAGCCCTTTACTGTTCATTGGTACGCTCACTACTGGAATTCGCGTGTGTTGTCTAAAATCCCTACCAGGCAGTATGGAGTGCACGATTCAAAGCTGTTCAACGCTAATTCGTCGGATACGCACTGCGCTATCTTCCTTGGAGTGACCCGCTGAATTTACCACCGTATACTGACCGCTATCCCCGAGTAGCACATGTCCGATACCAACAGTTGCAGAAACTTGTTTATGACTGGAATAAGTCGTATAGGAGTTTCCACAACCGATTTGCGACAAGTGTGCTAGTAGGGTCGTTTACTGGGTTTGGATACTCTTGCTCAAGTCTAAAGTCTTCAGCTAAAGTCTTGCTCGCAGAATATGATGCACCTGAATTACTGGTCAAAATTAATCTGTATGCTCCTGCCCGAACACTCCGTCCGAGAGTCTTGCTACATGAAGAAGTACATGCAACCAACTATGATGCAAACAGTTCCTTTGTCGCCATGATTCATCAATTCAGCGAAGTATCTGACCTATTTGATTTTGACATCAATGCCTCCACATTTCGTCATCGTTTGCTGCCGGCCAATTTTTAATTTTTAATGAGTGACTACATTTAGATTTAAGTGTTTCATTGAGACTACCAAGTCAGGTGGGCTATAATAATAATAAATAAATAAATAAATACAAACTTGCCCGCTACTGTTCGTGAAAGTAGGAAGAACTGGTTTTCTATACGAGATACACTTCTTTTCTTTGGCCAGAGTACACTGTAGACACGCATAGAGTAGTTAAATCACAACAGTGAGGTTCTTCATTGAAAGTCCGAAATGAGCAGCGATTATTTCAATTTCCCTTTTCATTTTGTTGATGCAAATTAGAGAACAGCTTTTAGTTTAAATACAAATCTACTGTGTTTTACGTAGCTATAGTAACCTCAAATGGTTTTCTATCAGTGGCCTCAAGAAAATCCATGCCTCATCAAGTGATTGCAGAATTATTAACAAATGAACAATTTGTGCGAAAATTGGCATGCCAACCCTGCCAGGAGATATTGGTGAGCGAAAGAGACGGCACCATTCGCAATGCTGCTGATTTGAACGATTATTTCCAAATCAGTCAGTCGGTTTGATGATCTCCACAAAGTGCGGCAGCGAGGGATCTATCAATTATGTTGGGTGACAATTGGTTATGGTGACAAATTTGTTTACTCGAAAGCGCTAAAACTTTGAAGGTCTCAATTTTGTTGTGAGCCACCATGGAAAAAATTGGCATTTCCTCTACAAACAATTGGTGCACCCCTCGCCTTTTAGTTACAAGCTAAGGCGCCAAAACGGAAGAGCATTGCGGGAAAAAAAATGGAAAACAACTCCTCCACTAATCTGCAGTGAGGCACTGGCTGTCACGCAGCAGCTTTCGATCACGCCTCACTAGTAAGTGTTTTGCGCTTCGAACGACCTGAGGTGTTTCGGGTGACACCTTGCTTTAATAACAGAAGAGTGCTAATACTGTCCAGATCTTGAACTTCGACGCTCTGCCAGAAAGGTCATCAACAGCACCATCACTCGACCTTCAGACTCCAAAGCCCTTCCCGGTGTTTCTGTCGGTGTCAATTGCATCCAAGGAAGTGAAACCACACCATATGGTCGTCGTCGTCGTCGTGATGCTACTTGCTCAAGGTTAACGTGGCGACCCCCGTTGCTCAAATGGACTCAAGATGCTGTGTGAACTCTTTAGGTCCAATCGTTATTATTGCTAGTCAGTGCCAGTTGACTTTTGAGGTGTAAGGAGGAAGTTTGTGCGTCTGCATCACCGGATTGCGGAAGACTTGAACGGCGAAAAGTGAGGTTTGTCGGTGCCTTGACACATGGAATGCATTTTAGACGATCGGAAGTCGTTGGAAGGAAGGTGATTTGGTTGCAATTTCTGGAGGCGGCTGGAAACTATCGAAGCTTCTCCCGGTGTGTGGAGTATCAGTGTTTGTTTGTGCGAGAGTGTGAGATAGATTAACGGGTGAGGAATTGAAATGTACCAGACTTAGCACGCAAATAGTTGAAAGGAAGGTTTGCATATTTATTGATGCCTATAATTTGTGCATTAGGATAATAAACGTCATTAATTGTGAGAGTTGCACGTACTAGAGTCGATGTCTTTTACAACAGAAAGGTTCTTTGTGAAAATTGAATTCTGTTGCGAAATACAACTTTTGAACTTGACCGAGTAGGTATATGTATCTCAAAATTAAACTTTAGTTTCAGACTTCATTGTTTCAGATAATTTGCTCTTTGGCTTGAAGGCTTTGTGCAATAATTTAAGAGTTTTACTCAAGCATTTGAGGTTGCTTTCATGATTATGAAGATATACATACAGTGGTTATTCAGAATGATGACGAAATTTGATCTTGCTGTAGAGTGGAGCCGCATGCAGGGAGAAGACCCAAGCTAGGATGGTGGCTACTTACATACATACATACATGAAGATATACATACAGTGGTGGCCTTTAAATTAGCGCAATAGGCAGATTTTCATACAAACTAGCCAACTTTGGCGGGGCCTCCCTTAGCTCAGTCGGTAAAGGCGCAGCTACAAAGCAAGACCATGATGGAGGTGGCTGGGTTCGATTCCCGGTTCGGTCTAGGAATTTTTCGGGTTGGAAAATTTCTCGACTTCCCTGGGCATAGAGTATAATTGGCATCGAGAGCAATCAATTAATAGCCGTGGAAGTGCATCTAGAACACTAAGTTGAGGACACGCAATAAGCTAATAAGCAATAAGCTAGAAGCTTGAAATGCAAATAAGAAGAAGCCAACTTTGGCATGTTGCAGTTATTGCGAGTACGTAATATCAAATTATGGGAAGCGCTTGCCGCAAATTGACGGGCTGGTTGAAAATGGCCAACTAATAAGCGCATTTATAATTCGAAATTTCCGAAGTCTAGTTCTGACCCACTTCCAGTAACTTTTGAAATATCCCAAGAAATAATTTGTAATCCCAACAGCTCTACTTTCAATTACCATAGAGCTGATTGGGAGCAATATCGAACATTTATGGAATATAACTTCGATCCAAACATTCCTTTGCAAACCAAAGATGAAATTAATTATGCTCTTGAATCTCTATAGTTCAAGCAAGAGCTGCCTAAGTACCAAAATGCGAGGTTAAATTCGATTCAATTATAATAGACGACGATCTTAAGCTCTTGATCCGTCTTAAAAATGTCCGTTAAAGACAATATCAAAGAACACACGATCCTGCCATGAAAGTTATCTGGCGGGATTTGCAAAAACAAATTAAAAGCGATTCTCTGCTCTGATGAACAAAACTTTTGAAAATAATGTTTCTTAATTAGACCCAAGTTCCAAGCCCTTTTGGAAACTCACAAAAATTTTGAAAAAATATCAAAAGCCTAAGCCAATCAATACGATTTTAAATTGGCTCACTACTTGACTAGCCTATTGATCCCAAGCAAATCGATTAACGTACCCCATTCTAGACGAAATTCTAGTACTACACAATGTTTGTTTTGATTCGCTATGAAAGTTTGACAGATAAAATGAGGGGTTATTGGATTTTCCTATGTTTCGAGGGGTGAATCGATTAGCTTGGGACCGTAGATAGTACCAGAGTTGAGCCAAAAAGTTGAGCACGTTTCTTCGGGACCTACTAGTCTTAGAGTTACCTCTATGGTTGTACCGTCTTACGTTCAACTCAAACATCTTTAGGATCTTAAGCTAAAACTAGCTTAATGAAGATCCCAACCCCTGGACCGAAACGTTGACGATGATAAAACTGTAAACCTTTTGCTTGAAGGCTGAAAGCCAAACAAAATGACTAATTCTTCAAGAGCTACCCTGAAGTTAATGAAACAGCTTTAAAGATCTCAGCACTTCATTAATGATATCAAGACCTGCATTTCTTTGCGGTTATTAAAAGTTACCGAATTTTACCTGTAGATAATTGAACTGCCCTGAAGTTCTTTGGTCTATCCTGAACCCCCCACAATTTTCAGGATGTTTTTGATACGTGAAGCTCATAAGACTTTTATTAGAATATCAAAAGTACCCTGAATTTTCCTGAATTTTGAAGAAGTTCATGAATTTTCTCTTACGTTTCCTATTTTTTCAAATAGTTCTCGAAGATTTCTGATCTTCCTCAAAACATGTTGAAACATGTTTGAAAAGAATGAAACTGCCTAAAAATCTTGAAACTTCTCTAAAGTTTCCTGGTCTTCTTTGAAGATGTCGGAACTTTAAGTAAGTTTAAGAAAATTTCCTGCGTTTATTGGTGCTCCTGTAAAGTTACTTTACAGGGCTCTGCATTTTCGAAACAAAGAAAAGAAAATGAAATCTCCGCAGAATCACTTCATTTCGAGCAATATCATTTTCATTTTGAACAAGGCATTATAGTACGTTTATACTACAGAGTTATAACATGTTATAGCGCTATCTTGATGGTGGTTTCTGTGTTGCAATTATTTGACAACCATTATAACATGTTATAACTCTCCAGTCTGGGCAGCATTTAAGTCATTGTGTTTCTTGTTATCAAGTCACGATGAACGTTCCTCCTTTCAAACATGGATTGACTATCGCTTGTTTCGTTCTTAAAATGCTGCAGTTCATTTCATTTGAAGCAAATACTTGTTTCAATTGACGCAATGAATGACTCTAAAACTGCTTCCTTCGTTTCTTTCCTTCACTTCAATTCGGGTTCATTCGACTTGTCACGCATCGTGTCGTCAAGCATCAAAATATAGTATCCGCACAATATCGATTGCCGATAGGGATGGCATCCGGATTATATGTAGTAATAATATATTATTTTATATTAGACGAAAATTAAATTAACGAGGCCATTCTGGAGTCCAAGATGGCGGCCATCGGGGTCAGGAAAAGTCTCAAATACCCTACCCTATGGGTATTTTCGGAACGGAGACGACGTGAAGGTGCCGAAAATCGATATCCTTAGGATGTCAGAAAAAGTGTCAAATACCCTACAATAGTGGCCATTGGTTTTTTGAAGTGGATACCCTAAGATATGGGTATTTTCGGAACGGGAACAACGCGTAGATGTCAAAAATCGTTATTCGACGCCAGTTTCATAAAACGTGTCAAACACCCTAAGATATGGGTCTTTTCGGAACGGGGACAACGTGTAGATGCCGAAAAACGATATCCGATGCTATTTTGGAATCCAATATAGCGGCCATCGGGTTTCACAAAAAGTGTCAAATACCCTAAGATCTGGGTATTTTTTGGCACAGGGACGACGCGTAGGTACTTGGATTTCAAAATGGCGTCAGATATAAATTTCCGGCCTATAGACGCCATCCCGATTCCAAAAATACCTATATTGATAAGTATTTCACAATATTTCCCATTTGTTCTGAAATCGGAAGCCACCATCTTGGATTTCTAAATGGCGTTGCAAATCAATTTTCGATCTACAGCAAAATTTAATTTTAATATTACATCCAAGAGCATGCACTTCAATCATGTCGAAAATCTCATGTAATTTTTTTTTGTTTCAAAAATAAACCAAAGCAGTAAAAGCAGCGTAATGTCAGTTCATGCACTGCACAGTGGGCAAAAATTGACAAAACCGCGACTAAATTGAATATCGCGGCTGCCAAACGGTGTTATACATATTTTCAAAGGAAAAACTCTGCTGAATCGATTGGCGGTAGTCTCATTGGCCGGAGACTTTTGCGTACCGAGATAGAAGGCCGGGATCAACCCGAGTTCCCGGTAAAGTAGGAAATTCCACTATCTATCAACATAAAGGGTGATACGGTCAAAATTTGGTCAAGGGAAAACGCGTGTAAATCGGTGAAATCGTTTATTTAAAAAATCAAATTAAATTTCTTTTTCAAGTTCAATTAGTATAAAATTCAGGAAAAATATTCAGTTAGGCTTCCGCTTTTCCAAATCCGAATTGCCGGGCCTTACGCTTGACCCCTGCCATCAGATTTTGTACAGCCACCTTGTCCACCTTCTTCGCCGCAGAAAGCCAGTTTGCCTTGAACTGCTGCTCGCCCTTAGCCATTTTTTTGGTCTTCTTTAGGTTCCGCTTGACAATAGCCCAGTATTTCTCAATTGGGCGGAGCTCTGGCGTGTTGGGAGGGTTCTTGTCCTTGGGAACCACCTGCACGTTGTTGGCGGCGTACCACTCCATGGCATTTTAACCGTAATGGCAAGATGCCAAATCCGGCCAAAACAGTACGGAACAACCGTGTTTCTTCAGGAAAGGCAGCAGACGTTTATTCAAACACTCTTTCACGTAAATTTCTTGGTTGACAGTCCCGGAAGCTATGAAAATGCTACTTTTCAAGCCACAGGTACAGATGGCTTGCCAAACCAGATATTTCTTTGCGAACTTTGACAGTTTCATGTGCTTGAAAACATCTGCTACCTTTCCCCTTCCTTTTGCCGTATAAAACTCCTGTCCCGGAAGCTGCTTGTAGTCGGCTTTGACGTAGGTTTCGTCGTCCATTACCACGCAGTCAAACTTCGTCAGCATCGTCGTGTACAGCCTCCGGGATCGCGCTTTGGCCGTCGTATTTTGTTTATCATCGCGATTTGGAGTCACTACCTTCTTGTAAGTCGATAGTCCGGCTCGTTTTTTGGCTCGATGCACGGTTGTAGACGATACACCCAGCTTATTTGCGGCATCTCGGAGAGAGAGGTTAGGGTTTCGCTTGAAACTACCGGCAACTCTCTTTGTCGTCTCAGCGGCTTCCGGTTTTCGATTTCCCCCCGATCCAGACTTCCTGGCTGTCGACAAACGTTCCCCAAACACTTTAATTACATTTGTAACGGTTGATTTGGCAACTTTTAGCGATTTTGCC